CTCTAAATCCGTCACTAATGCTTCTATTTTTTTTTTAAAAAATTCAATTACAAAACAAATTTTAAACAAGACTAGGAAGCTTGCTTTGGGAAGATTGAAGTTTTAGGTTGAGCTTCGGAAGGGAATTTTACTTCTTCTCAGTTATTTGCTATTTTGAGTCAACCTTCAGGTGAGGGAAGCTAGAATGTTTGTTGTTTAAGTTGCATGTGAGATTAGAAATTCAATTAATGCATGAAAGTTGAGGATCCATGGCTGGATCGGAGAATTTGCTCATTTGTCGAGGTTTTGGGAAAATGGGATTTTCGAGTGGAATTGATGCATCGGATGGGTGCATGTAGATTTGGAGTTTGTTTTTGTGTTGTATGGAGCCTACAAGGAATCCAAGAGGTGATACATTGAAGGAACCAAGAGGAATGAGATGATGGACCATGGGCCAAGGGCCCAATCCCTAGAGATATGGCCACCTTAAAGACCAGTGGACACCTTGAAGACTAGTAGGCTTTCCAAGCCGAAGGTACTCCTCAATTTAGACCACTCTATCATGAAGAGAAGGCATAGTTCTAGTTGTAACGTAGAAAAAAAAATGTGGCTGATTTAGTATCCCAAAATGGGCAATTCCCAATTTGGAACAGGCCGTTCCAAGCTATTAAATTGAACTGAAAATCGTACTTGAGAACGGGCCATTTTGGAGGGAGAACGGGCCGTTTTGGTTGGAGAACGGGCCATTCTGGATGGAGAACGGTCCATTTTGGAAGAGGCCCCGAACGGGCCGGTCCAGGTGATTTTTGTACGTGTTGAGGGAGTGCATAACGGGCCGTTCCGGTATCGGTACAGGCCATTCTGGCCACTTCGGAAAGTCTATAAATAGGGGTTAGGGGCCTTGAGGAAAATGTGAGTTTTTAGAGAGAAGTTTTAGAGAGAAGGACTCTGGGTCTATGAGCTCCTTTCTCTCCCAAATTTCTCTGTATGATTCCTTTTCTCCTCTACATCACTAACGCCTTCTGGATTTTCTTGAAATTCAGACTAGGAAGCTTGCTTTGGGAAGATTGAAGTTTTAGGTTGAGCTTCGGAAGGGAATTTTACTTCTTCTCAGTTATTTGCTATTTTGAGTCAACCTTCAGGTGAGGGAAGCTAGAATGTTTGTTGTTTAAGTTGCATGTGAGATTAGAAATTCAATTAATGCATGAAAGTTGAGGATCCATGGCTGGATCGGAGAATTTGCTCATTTGTCGAGGTTTTGGGAAAATGGGATTTTCGAGTGGAATTGATGCATCGGATGGGTGCATGTAGATTTGGAGTTTGTTTTTGTGTTGTATGGAGCCTATGTATTATGTTTTTGTGTTTGCACGTGGCTGGATTTGTTGGTTTGGATAAGAGTTTCTAAACTCTCTGACTGGGATTAGGCTAGGCGCAAGTTGAGCGCGCCATGCGTGGAAGAGCTTAGGGCTCTCGGGTTGGATGTTGGGCCAGACGTGATTTGGTTGCGTTAGGCGTGGATACTCTTAGGAGTCTCTGTTTCAAGGACACCGAGCATGAGTTGAACGCGCTGGGCGTGGATGAGTCTTAGGACTCTCAAGTTAGGATTAGGCTGGGCGAGCTCAGGCTACGCCGGGCGTGAATATGTTTATGAATGAATTGATGCTTATGCATGTTTAAAGTTTAAGTTTATATTGAACCACGGATCCACACTTCAAAAGACAAGAAAATGAACTTATCTCTTGAAGAACCGAATGCTCTTGTTACCACTTGATGAGATTCCACTTGGAAATCTCAAGAACACTTCAAGCCTCTCGGAATTCCTTAGAAGAACATCAAGGAAGAAGACTCCAATTGGCTTAAATGTGACCTAGGCTTGCTTCTAGCCAAGTCCGGAGAAGAAAGCGTTCCTAACTCTACAAGGAGAGGAGCTCAAGTAGGGTAGAGTGTAGGAGGTTTGACTTTAGGAGAAGGAGATTTCTAAAGAGAGAAAACTCATCAATTAATTCCAAAAGTCTTACAATTCTCGGCCAAGGTGATTTGTTCTCGGCCAAGGTGATTTATAGTGAAGAATTAGGTTAAAGTGACCTAGGGTTAACCTAAGGTTAAGTGGAACCAAGGTAAGGTTCACTTAACCTTAGGCGCCCAAAATTTGAATTCAAAATTCAAATTTTGGTGCCTAAAACCCGGATCACCATGTGCTTCTTCATTTGGTATGTAATTAGAAATCAATTTGAGTTGCATTTCGGATCACACCATGTGCATGTGTTGCACATGGCCGAAATGCACTTCAAATGGGATTTTAATTACATGCTAATGAAATTGCACATGCAACCTAAATTACCCTAAATTCACATGGCCTCTAAATGCAAATCCTAAGCTACATGCCCGGAAATACAAGGCCCAAAAAAAATACAAGACACTAAGGCCCAATCCTACACTATCCCTAATCTAATGGGCTTGAGACAAAGCCCAACAAAATAAAGTGATGGGCCTTCCTTAGGCTTGGGCCCACTCTTCATGCATCCTTCTTGTCATAGCCCTAGTAGTTGGGCCCTTAGCCCATGGGCCTCCTCCATCAATGGAGAAGTTGGTTCCATCATCCTCCATCATATACCAAGAATAAATTTAGTCCCTACAGGTATATTGTTCAACCAATGGTTATTATTTTCTTGTGTGGTTGTCATGATCAGAATTGGATTCACATCTTGAACTTTAACCTTGTGATACATTTCACCTATTATTGTTTTTATAAACAGAAGTGTAGATCTTCATTTTTCTTTAGGGATCAATTGGTGGTGATATATTCCATCATTAATTGAAATTTTATGTATGATTTTTAAAAAGATCAGCTTATTTTCAAGAGAAAATTGCACTGAGACCTTTGAGCTCTTTTTAAATGATAGACAGCTCCCCTTTTAGTTTAACTGAACAATAATCTACGTTTTGTATTTATTTGTCTAAGTGAAACATAAAATTCCCTATATAAGATAATACCATTTGTATACTATATAAAGAGAGAACATATTATTAATGCAAATACTAATAATTGAATGAGACTTGATCTCTTACTTAATTATAAATCCTAAATTATAATCTAAATATCATGTACCTACTTAAAAGAACAATTTTAAAGAACGGGTTGAAAAAATATTTTAAAATTTGAAAAACATTGAAAATTTTCATAAAGAAGACATAACATTATATGTATTTTGGAACAAAATGATAGACGTGTATATGATTGACAGAATATAAATTGACTTTTATGTTTTCTCTTTCTTACGCTTTAACTAATGATATTACTCTAAGGGATATGACTGTTTTTTAAAAATTAAAGAGAATGTATGTGTCATTTATATAGTCCTCACAGGAGGCGAGTGGAATTTTCCTCATTTTCAATTGAATAAGAATTGTATTTCAACATGTATGTTTTAATTGAATTTTGCATGTTTTTTGGTCGAATAGCTTCGTGACTAATAAGTCTAAAGATTAAACCCAACTTCAACAGTTGGTCAAAATTTAATCAACCCATGAAAGTTTAGAACCTCTTTGCCATCTTAATATTTTTGATACGTGTAACTGCAATGATACAATTCATGTCAACGGTTCTGTATTTCTTGCTGGGAAAATTCTTATGTCAATGTATCTGGTCATATTAGGAGCATGGAAGAATGCTTGTTTTAGAATTCTAAACTTATTATTCTATATTATATAGTCTTTCAAACAAATATCTGTAGTATCTCTTCGATTAAATTGTTTAGTTATATGTTATATCCTACATATTCTATATGCTAATTAAAATAGAGCCGTACACGTTTTATAAAACTATATATAGGGAAGGGAGTGCCGCAGAAGATACTAGCATTATGCAACTCATCCAAAATGGTCCCACTTGTGTCGATACTCGTGGTTCTTGCTCTTCCTGTATTGGTGTTGATCCTCTTGAACAAACACAGAAGCCCTAAGAACCGTCGTCCACCGGGTCCAAGAGGCCTTCCCATAGTTGGCAACCTTCTCCAACTTGACAATTCAAATCTCAATTTCGAACTGTTGCAGCTCTCACAGACCCACGGCCCTCTTTTCTCTCTCAAACTTGGGTTCCAGCGGGCCATTGTTATTTCCTCTCCCAAACTCGCCAAAGAGCTCCTCAAAGACCACGATCTTAACGTGTGCACAAGGCCCCCCTCGCATGGCCCTCTGAAACTCTCTTACAATGGCTTGGAGCTCATTTTCTCTCCCTACAGTGACCACTGGAGAGAAATCAGAAAAATCTGCATGGTTCATTTCTTCAGCTCCAAACACATCTCTAGCTTCTCCCACGTCAGAAAATCCGAGGTGAAGCAAATGATTGAGATCATATCCCGCCACGCGTGTTCCTCGAAATCGACGAACCTGAGTGAGGTTATCTTGTCGGTTGCAAGTGCTATCATATGCAGGGTCGCCTTCGGGAGGAAGTACGATGAGGAAGGTGCTGAACGAAGCAGGTTCCACAACCTGCTTAATGAGACGCAGGCTATGTTCCTTTCCTTTTTTGTTTCGGATTTTGTTCCGTTCCTCGGGTGGGTTGATAAACTCACCGGCATGCATGCTCGTCTTGAAAATACTTTCAAGGCGTTGGATGTGTTCTTCCAAGAAGTCATTGACGACCACCTCGATCCTAATACGGTGAAACAAAGTGAAGAGATGAATATGGATATTGTTGAAGTGTTGCTCCAGCTAAAGAAGCAGGATCGCATGTCAATAGACCTCTCCTATGATCAAATCAAAGCTATCATCTTGGTATGTGCTCATGCTTTAACCCTTTTTCGTATTCTTTTTCAATTAGTACGTTGTTTAGAGAATTTGGTCTTTTAACTTTGTTCAATCATCGTCCATGTAATTGATCTCGTCCATATGACGACTTTTCATATTAACTGTTATCATTTATAATTTATAATTAGTAAGTGGACGCTCAATTATAAACTAATACAATTAGGGATCAATTCAGCTATATGGATTTAAATTAGTTACATTATGTTGAAAATTAACTCTGGTTTAATTACCATGCTTTTTGGCTAATTCAAGCTCTTTCAATTTATCGCGTGAACATATTATTAGTTCATCACTATATTTTAATGAAACATATGGAACCAAAAACATCATAAGCCAGCCCAGCGCTTTTTTACTTTACGCCTACGCAAATATGAATTTTATCATGCTTTCGGTTCATAGCTCTATTGTCACAGAAATAAATTAAAGCGCAAACACATTGGGTATTAAGCTTCTAGGATAACTGATTTCTTGACCAATAGCTTTTACAAGTTTAGAGATGTGTTAGGCTTTACTTTGTACTTACGGTGTGCAGCAGTGACATGTCATAAAGAAAAGGAAAAGAAATAATTATTCAAAATTTAATTATATATAAGTAACTGAAAAGAAGGAACAAAGAAAAATTATCTGATATTAGCTCTTCCTTGACTATCACAGGACATATTTGTAGCAGGTACGGATACAACTGCATCCACACCCGTGTGGGCAATGACAGGATTAATGAAGAACCCAAGAGTAATGGCCAAAGCTCAAGAAGAACTTAGAAATGTGTGTGGCAACAAAGAGTTCATAGAGGAAGAGGATGTTGAAAAGCTTGTATATCTGAAAGCAGTGCTAAAAGAGACACTGAGGTTTTATGCACCAACTCCACTTTTACCAAGAGAAGCCATTAGAAATTTCACAATAGAAGGGTATGAAATAGAAGCCAAGACATTAGTGTATGTGAATGGTTGGGCCATTCAGAGAGACCCTGAAGCTTGGAAAGACCCAGAAGAATTTTATCCAGAGAGATTCTTAAACAATGAGATAGATTTTAAGGGACAAGATTTTGAGATGATTCCGTTTGGTGCAGGGCGTAGAATTTGCCCAGGCATCTCGCTGGGAATGGCCACAGTGGAGCTCATAACTGCAAATCTTCTTAATTCATTCCATTGGGAAATGCCTGTGGGGATGAAACCTGAACACATAGACACTGAGGGGCTGCCAGGACTTGCACGACACAAGAAGAATCATCTTTGCCTTGTTGCCAAGAAACGTGTGTGAATGTGGTAAGTGCCTCTAATTGAATAAAGTAATTTAAGTTTGGCCTCTGCTTTGGATTGTGCAGAATGTATCACGAACACCAAGGAGTTTGGAACATGAGAGAATCATGTTCTAGTTATCTGCCCTTGTAAAATAAAAATCATTTGAGCTTCCAAAACTCAATAAATGGAATATTTGGCACACTTTTAATTGAGAAATTCTACTATGCATTTTATGACTTTTTTTTCTTTTATATTTAAATAAGATAAGTTATACGTTAGAGAAAAGTAAAATAGACAAATTTATTATAAAATGTAGTGTAAAATATGAGTAAGAATTTGAAGAAAAACCAAAGTGCTAACATCTGACTGTCTATTTAAGACTCGCCTCTTGGTTAAAACTTTTTTCTTTTTTACAACAGTTAAAACTTTTTAAACACTGCAAGTCAATAAGGATCATTTTCACTTTATTATTTATCTCTTGTTATAAGACTACTTTTAAATTGTCCCTTGCAATAACTTTTATTCTATAATATTCTTAAATAATGGAAAAACACCTAAATAGGTCCATAAATTTAGAAGACATTATGTTGGTCCCAGAAGTTAGGAAAATGTAAAATACGTTAGGTCCATAAATTTAGAAGACATTATGTTGGTCCCAGAAGTTAGGAAAATGTAAAATACGTTTATGAAAGTACAAATTAAAAATTATATTACTTTAAAACATAAAAAGGTATATAACTAGAATAATAATATTGATATATATTCAGATATTAAAATAATAATATGTAGTTAAATTTAAAAATTTATTTAATATTTTATGAACATATTTGATAATTACTTAATTTTAGAGATTAATATAATAATGTCTTTCAAAATTAAGAAACAAAATGAGTGTTTACTTCCTTAATCAATTAATAATTTTTTAATAAAAAATTAAATGCTAAAAATTAATGATATAAATTTTTTATCTCTCTTAATATGACTGGAAAAGATTATTAGCTATGGTTTTCAAAGATTATTACTACTAATCTCTTTCCAAATTTTTGTTAATTAGATGAAAAAAAATGATTAATTTCAAATATATTAAGGATAATTTTAGGGAAAATATAATTTAAGTTATTGATAAATTTAATCTCATTAATTAAACTATTCAACTTTTTAAGAAAAACTAAATTAATTGGAAGCTTCGTATATATAGGAATAAAGAATTTGTTAAAGAAAATACAGGAACAAAGAACGGTAGGTTAGATAATGTGTTAAAAATATATTATTAGAATTTCTTGTCAGATAAATTATAAGCATCTAGAAATTTTTCTCCCATATCATTAATTTTAATTTTATTTTATCGAACACTTGATATTTATTACTTTCCCTCCCTAATTTCTCATTTTTCTCACCCCATTTCTCTACTCTTTCCATCTCGGTCTGACTATTTTGAGTTAAACGTTTATCAAGTTTCTAAGAATAATTGAAACAGAAATAATCCACACAAACCGACTTTGAAAGCCCCGATAGGAAATTCTGGACAACAAAAAACAAATCAAACAAATACAGGCCTTTCATATTATGCAGTGGCAAACAGTAATGGTTACAGAGTACGAAAAGCAATCGCACAAATGTAGTACAAAATTACATGTTCAAATGTCATTGGAATGTTATAATAAACATAATAATAAAAGCATTTAACATAATCAACGACCAGTCGTCGGACACTAGTCTCCATCGCGGATCTTGACTGACATTATGGTTGTTCCTTCTAGTATTTTTTTTTTTTTTTTTTATCAAACTCAATATTCACTACTAAAAAAGTGTCATTTTCATGAAAAAGAAAAAATTTGCAAAATTTTTTTATGAATTTTCTTTCAATAAAATATTTGCAGAAATATTTTACGAATTTTTCTACAAAAAATATTCGTAGAAACTTTTTCACAAATTTATTTGCAAAAAATAATTTACAGATATTTCTTACAAATTTTGCTACAATTTTAATAATCATAGAAATTTTTTTCCATGGTAAAAACTTATAGTAAATATTGTAAGAATTTTATTTTGTTTATTGCAGATTTTCTTCCAAAAATAAATTCGCAAGTAATGTTTATTAAATGCTAGAAAAATTTTGCAGGTAACTTTTCCTGCGGATTTTCCTGCAAATTTTAATCCACATGAAAAATAAATTAAAAAAACTTCAAATCCCACATCAATTGAAAATAAAACAATTAAAGAGTATATAAGATGGGGCAACACTTACCTTACAAGTTGATTTGTATGGTTAAGTGTTAGACTTATAGTCTACAATCTTAGAATTTAAAAGATTATGTATCACATGTTGGAGGCATGGAAACAAATGTTTCGAATGAATTCATTGTGATCTTCTGAAAGTTGAAGAATTATTGATAGACTTTGTAGTAATTTCTTTAATTTTTTTCGTAAAAATATTCTTGCAGAGTCGCAGGAAACTTTCCTACAAATTTTTTTTGCAGGAAACTTTCTTGCAAATTTTTTTTGCAGGAAACTTCCCTACGAATTTCTTTCGCAAGAAATTTCGCTGGAAATTTTCCTGCGAAATTTAAAATTTGCAAAAATATATTATTCACGAAGGTATTACTTGCATATAAGATTTCGCAAAAAAATTTATAGGAACAACATTTGTTGTGATTTTTTCATAAAAATTCGCAGGAAAAATCGCATGTAATAAGAGAAATTATAGTGATTTAAATTAGTCTCTCTCGGAATATTAATTACATTAAGGTTATTCCTTCTAATGTCATTCTTTTATTAAATTGAAGACTCAACTTAAGACCTTGAGATTTAAAGACCAATCACAACATCAGCAAGACTAACAAATATTGGTAAAGAAAAGATATTTTTTATGTGCATGTTATAAATACATTAGTAAAATCATATTGAGTTTGTGAGACAACCTTTAAGACCATCTCATATAATACGTAATTTTAACATATAAAATAAAATATTCTTTATGTACATTTCATAGATACATGTTTCAATGTCTTTTATGTTGTTATTGATAACGATGTCAAACGTTATCAAATAAACTAGTTTTTCCTAAAAAAAATAAAATTTTGTATTATAGGGAACCTAGGTCAAAATCTAGAATCACAAACCATAGGAACACAAATTTTATCAAGAATTAGAGAGGGGAATTTTTATCAAACAATTTCTATGCAAAAAATATATAATGAAAATTAAACTCAAGAATCATGAATTTTAAAATCCAATTGGATAAAACATCGATTAAAGTTTTGATTATTGCAGTATATAAAAAAAATATGTAATCTGAACTCCATCATTGAATATTTAATTTGAATTATATAATGAAGAACACAATCGTGTTCAATGAAAACCCTACAAAGACAAATTTGTCTCATATTGCTTCAATCGAAATTGAATCCAATTCAGTGTTCTAAAATTAATTTGAATTAATTATGTTTTTCAATTAATTGAAAACGAAATCCATAATCATGAATTTAATTCAAAATTAATTGAGGAACAGAAAAGAAGATAAAAGATGAATTCGGATTTTAGAGGATTTTACTGCATAACCGAAAACTTGAATCGATTAAGATAATTTAGTTGTGCATCTCCATCATTATCCATGCACAAATCTGTTTGGAGAGAAGATGAAAAGTCTCAACCAAAATAGAGAGCAATTCGTGAGAGAGAAGAGAAGAGAAAAGAAGAGAAGAAAAGATAGTTGATAGAAAATGAGAGAAACTTCTTGAGAAAAAAATCTCAAATCTGAAAAATGAGAGAGTAAAATTTTATTGCAAAGAGTCATTACATACATTTAAAGAAAAAGTAATGGGCTTAAACTAAGGGCTCATCCAACTAATTACACTCCTAAAGCCTAATTAACTACAACTAAACAATTTCAAAACAAGCTAAAAATTTTACTGCAAGGTTGCGGGCTTGAGGCGGGATTTTTCACCTGAAAACGTCCTAATTGGGTTTTACTCCCAACATATAAGTTGTAGATCTCCCTCTTATACTTTCAAGGACACAAAGTTTGCCCAATTCTAAGTTGTATGGCTCCAAATTTGACTTTCACAAGAAACTAAGTCAAAACAAGAAATTATTACGAGAATCTAGTAAAATTTACAACTAAATCCTAAATGACTCACTAACACAAATCTAAAATAATACATGAATATATGACACTAAAAGAAGTCAAATAAGGCAAAAACATATAAAGAAAAATGTACTAAAATATGACTATTAGTTATTAAATAATACGTCGACATATATATATATTCACTTATCATGTTTTTTAATTTCATTTATATGTTAATATTTAAACCTTTTAATTATGACATCCTAATGGAAATCTTCAGACAGGCTAGATTGATGTAACTTCCATTGATATTAGAAGTCATTTCTAACACACAAGAGAAGGAAAGGTCTCCCTTAGGTGATGTCACACTCTTAAAGAGTGATAAGTTTCTTTAATTTCTCACCACACTCGAGAGGATAAGATAAAAATAAGAATTTCAAAGATAGAAACAAGCTTTGAGAGAGAAAATTAGAGAGAAATTTTGATCATCCAATTCTAATAATGCTCAAAACTAGTACAAAATGGGTCAAAGCTACAATATATAGAGTTTAGTTGGCTTATGGTGCAAGTTAGACTAACCATGGTTAAGTGTAATCATGGTTAGCCATCTTGTACTTAAGCTAACTGTACTATCCGTACCGCGAAGCCGAGCTTGAGCTCGACAGCACAGTGCTGATTAACATCAGACACGCGCTATGCGACATCAGCCAAGATAAGGCCCACTATCTGAACAGGTCACAACTGATCTCAGGCCCAAGGCCCAGATAAACCCTAATTCACACTAAGGTATGTGCATTACTTATACGAGACCCATACACCCACAAACACTAACTTTAGCATCGGAGTCTCTTTTGCAGGTACCACCGCCGCCTTGGAACAGCAAGCGTATCATTTTGAAGGAGACTCACCAATCTTGTCTAGAAGATTGTCCCCTACGACCGATCTCTGGTAAGAACATTTGGCGCCCACCGTGGGGCCAATCAAGACATCTCTTATTGGCCACGCTTTCGGTTTTCACCCGAAACCCTAGGAGAAGAGCAACGGACGACCTAGATCGCGCAACAAGAATGGAAGGTGAAGCAGCATTGAGGAGACTGATCGAACAGGTCAAGAAAATGCGGCAACAACACGCCGTTGACCTGGAAAA